GTGTAGTTGGCTCAGGTATTTTGGGCGTATGGGTGACTTACTACTCCCCGTAAATAACAGCTCTCTTAATGATTCTCGTCTCTTCACACCCTCGCTTTTGCTTGATGGTTCAGCATTGAACAATAGTGCTGATAATCTTCTTTCCTCTTCAGCGTCGGGGATACTTGCATCATCCCACTCGTCCGATCGGTCAAGGCCAATGTTATGGAGAAGTACACATGCCGGGATGTGGTTGTTAACGAACTTAAACTCACTCACAGTCTTAAGCTGCGTTCGAATGCTCTTTAACGACATCCACCGATTTTTCCAGAGACCAACGCAGTTCTCATTTAGGACCCGAGCACTCGACACCACCTCATTGAACACCTTGTTGTCAGGATGGTCAGATGCAGGGCGTTTATAAGGCGTAATGAGATAGTTTGATAGAGCGTAGCCGGTGTCACCACGCAGAAATTCCCTCGGGGAAAAGAAATCGTATGGACGCGTAAACACTGGTGTTTTGCCGAAGACAGTAGAATCCGCACACAATCCAGGCCAGCCCGTATATGCCATGATGATGCGCTTGTCTTCATCACAGAATATTTGAACGTTAAAGCTGTAGCGGCATTTCATGTTGAAGTGAATGGCCCCGTCGATAGCAGGCTTCTGGTCGACGATGACGTGCATACCATCCACCATACCAACTACACCATCCAGTCCGTAACGTTCGCGATGGAAAGCCGCCGACACTGACCGTCTATAAGCCGATGGACAGCATACGAACTTCGAGTAATGCGGAAGAAGAGCTCTTTGGACTCGTCGTGCGTACAGGGAAACTGTTCCTGCTCCTAGCTTGTAGACACGAGCAATTCTACGCACTGAATTGCCATTACCACCAGCTCCATACCACTCTAGCGCAACAGCGAGCTGGATGGAGACATCACGTTGCGGTTTTCTCGGTTTAAAATTGAAACCCACCTGTTGGTTATGGTCCTAAACATGCACACCGATTTTTCGTCTGATCGTTTTGCTCGCCAAATGCCAAAGATTTTGCAATTAAAGCCCCCTAATGGCTACAATTGACAGACCACTGGTCTGTGTGCATTTAGACTTCCTGTTTGGTTGAAAGGCGATCGCGTTCAACCAACTAGCTTAGCAGGATTCTGCCAACCACTCGTTGGCAAATACCTTTTATTTAGAATATCACTTTAGGAGGAAACCCAAA